GGAGGGGATTGGCTCTGATGATGATGGGCGTGGCATGGCAATCAGAGGGGGGCTTGTTGATGGGCGGAGGCTGTCTGATGGGGGCATGGTGATGGGCGTGACCTGGCCCTAAGAGGGTGTGATGAGGCTGTGCATGCGGGGGCGGGCACTGACTGATGAGGCGGGACGATGGGCGTGCATGTGGGGGCAGAGCCTGACAATAAGGGGCGTCGGGGCAGGCACTGACTCTGATGAGCAGTGTGTGCGTGTGTGTGTGATATGGGTTTGACCTGGCTCTGAGAGGGTGGGTGGAGGCTGTGCATGTGAGGACGGATACTGACTCTGATGGGCAGGGCGATGGGCATGACCTGACGCTTGAGGATGTGATAAGGCTGCATGTGGGGCGGGGCGATGGGCGTGTCCTGTACTGAGAGGGCGTGTCGAGACGGTGCACGTGGGATCGGACCTGTAGGTGAATGAAAGGGGCGGGTCACGAGGGGCGTGGCCTCAGTGCCGAGAGGGCGTGTCAGGGCTGTGCATGCTGAGCTGGGTACTGACTGATGGGCAGGGTGATGGGCGTGACCTGGCACTGAGAGGGCGTGTTGCGGCTGCATGTGGGGCGGGGTCTGACAGTGGGGGGCGTGGCGATGGGCTTGACCTGGCGCTGAGAGGGTGTCGAGGCGGTGGATGTGGGGGCGGCACCTGACTGATGGGCAGGGGGAAATGGGCGGGGCCTCGGTGCTAAGAGGGAATGTCGGGGCGGTGCACGAGGGGGCGGGCCCGCGGCTGAATGGAGGGGCGAGTCCTCAGAGGGGCGTGGCCTCGGTGCTGAGAGGGCGTGTCGGGCTGTGTACGCGGGGGCGGGCCCGCGGCTGAATGGAGGGGGCGGGTCCTCAGAGGGGCGTGGCCTCGATGCTACGTGGCCCCGCCCTGCAGACTACCACCGCTGCCTGAAGCGCATGAGCCGGCGTGGGAGGAGCACGCAGCCATGCGAGTACTACTACCACGTGTACCATTCGTTGTGCCCCATCAGCTGGGTGAGAGGCGGCAGAGGCCCGGGAGGGGCGGGTGGGGGGCTGCGGCCGCGGCTGAGCCTCCCCCTCTCCCTCCCCTTCCCCCTCCTTCCCCAGGTCCGGCGCTGGAACGAGCAAATCAAAGACGGCACTTTCGCGGGCAAAATCTGACCACCGCTGGGCTCCCGAGCCGGCCGGCCGGCCGGCCGCAGTGACCCTGGCCTTCCTGCAGTGGAGTCCCCTGCGCCCCACATCTCAGCTCCAAGCCACAAATAAAGGGCTGGTCTGCTGCTGTTTGTGTGTCCGGGATGGATGCCCGAGGGCGCCGGCCAGCGGGAGGGCACTGCGAGTTCTGGGGGGAGGAGGGGGTCGGGGCCCTACGGGTCCATCCTGGAACGATTGCCCAGTAATTGAAAGGTGGGCGGCTGCCATCGACCTGCAGCCTGTGTCTGTCCATCGGCAGCTGCTGGATTCGAACTGCTGTGGGGCAGCTGTGCTCTGTCCTGCAGGGCCGTGGCCCTGGGTCTTGGGCCGGCGGGACAGCTGATAGCGGTCCATTGGCGGTGGGGCGCGTTCACCCCTGGGCCATTGGGGCGCTCTTTTGGGTCCATGGGCCGCAGAACGCTCAGCTGTCCAGTCGGAACCTCCTCATGGCCGATTCTCCCTGGAGGTTCGCGACCATTAAGTCCCCCGCAAGATTGCTTTGCTCCCTCAGGCCCCCTGGTGGATTCGAACCACCACAGAGGTGGATTAGTGCAACAACCCCCTCCATCGGGAGGGCCCCCCAGACTCCTTCATCCTGAGGTAGCCATTATTAGCCTGTGATACTTCACTGGGTGGTCCTGGCCTTCTGGATTCCCTGGGGCTGTGGACAGAGGCGGACAGTCCCAGCAGTGACTCAGCCACTCCACCTGGGACGGAGCCCCAGACACATCTCCCACGCCCCCTCTGACCACAGCTGGACAGGCAGGCTGATGGTGACACTGTGCACTTGGGACCTGAGGCCACTGCCACTGCCCCACGTTAAGCTCCCGTCACCTGCCCTCCAGCCCCCTTCAGTCCTGGGGACCCCGACGCTGCCATCCTCCCTGCCCAGTGGCTAGTTCTGGGTGTCGTTCCTATAACATTCCCGTGAGATTGCCTTGCTCCTTGGTCCTGGCCTTCTGGATCCCCTGGGCCAGTGGACAGAGGTGGACCTCTGCTACAGTCCCCTCAGCCTTCCTGCTTGCAGCCCGGCCGTGCCCTGCCTTCATTTCCAGCTTGGTGGACGAACGTCCTCAAGCTCACTGCCACAAGCTTGGCCTTGACCGCCAGCCTGGGCTATCCTCCCTGCCATCCTCAGCCGCCCATGGCAGAGGGAACTGAGGCCCTCAGACCCTCTGGTCTCCCCCCATCATCTGCAGCCTCCCTCCACACCCCACAAACAAAATCAGGAGACTTAACAACTTTCAGATTTTGCACTTTTTTTTTTCCTCTGTGAAAAGAGCTAACAAAGGCTACTGAACTGTCCCTCAGTAATTCTTGTAAGGCTCTACAGACCTTCACCACACCCAACACCCCATCGCCGTGTAGGGTGGAAACCCCTCTGAGAAGGAAGAATCAATTTTTTTGCCCTAAAAATGTAACAGGAGAGAGTTGCGGCAGCAGCTGCCCCTGGCAGGATTTCCTTGTGCAGTGGGCCACCCTGCGGGCCTCCCCGCAGGCCAGCTCAGGCCTCCTGCGGCCACTCCGGGCTGGAAAGGCCTCAATGACGGCTCTAGCGACAGAAAGGTGGTGAGACCTCACATCCTGTCACAGACCCAGAAGGACACAGCAGTTCCACTGAGCTTCAGCTCTCACAGGCTTCAGCGGTTGTGATCAACCCGTGAAAGCATTTTACACTGCCCAACCCGGCGGCTAAGCAGCAGTCTCCTCCAGCATGGTCTCTGTCCACCAGGGGTCCCCGGGTGGGCTGCTGGACAGTCTGACCTTACTGCCCACAAAGAGAGCCTTCCCGAGGATGGCCTGGGTGCAGAAAAACGCCTGCGACGTGCCCCCAGTGTGGTGCCCAGCGCACGGGCCAATGTGTCATTGTCCGTGTGCCTGGGCGGCTTCTGACTCGACAACCCTGTGTACCACACACTGCACTGCCCGCCTGGTCCTGGGCAGCTGCATCCAACACCCCGGGCCACTGAAGCTGTGCCCCTCGGGCTGGGAGATGCCCGTGCACAAGGGTGAGCTCACCCCCGTGAACCTGGGGGAGTTAAGGTTCGGGGACTTTACTCAAAATGAGAAGAAACTGCTTCAGACACTTAAGGAGTGCAGTGTGAAAAGACTCATTACCGCCTGGACAATGGGACTCCCGTGAGAGTTGAAAAGCAATGGCAACGTTAGGCCCTGCCTCACCTCCCGCCTGGGTGGTCAGCGCTGAGAGCTCAGCGCTGAGACCAACGTGAGGGGCGACGTGGAGGGTGCAGGGCAACAAGCTGAAACAGAATGGAAAGGATGACAGGTTCACACCTCCAGAGAACTAACCCTCGTCACCAAGCCTGAACCGGAGCCTGAAGTGCATGAAACTTCACCAAAACCAGCATCCCAGAAATGACGGCGGCAAGGTGGAGGCTGAGCGAGGAAAAGGTTCACGGCCTCAGGGCTTCCCAGGATGCGCCCCAGACGGCTGCACGGAGGGCTGGTGCCCAAGGCCTGTGTGCAGCGCTAAGCCCTGACCAGTGTGGCCCTGTCCCCACCTCTGAGGTCCTCATGGGGGAGTCCCTCTACCTTGCTGGACAGCGGCCTCTGAGCAATGGGGAGGATTAGCACCCACAGTCAGGGCGACTGCTTGGATCCAGTCTCCGAGGCTGCACGCGGGCAAAGTGGCCCTGAGGCTCAACGCCCGGCTGTTCCCCTTGGTATCTGAGCCCCACAGCAGCTCAGGGCCCCAGGCAGGTGCTACGGCCTCTCGCTCTGCAGACTGGGCGCACCCGCAACTATTAACAACGCTCCCTCGGTACACGACATACTTATAACAAGGTTTTAATAAAATAACAAGTTCAAGTGCTTCCGATCCCCCAGCACAACCAATTCTGGCTCGGGGGAGGGGAGGAAGGGCACCCCGACTCCCAGTAGCACCAGGGATAGCACCATGAGAAAGACGAGGTTGTGCTCCCCACATTCCCCATCTTCTCTGCCTCAGACAGCTGCAGGGTTGAGCAGACCCACTCCCCTCCTGGGAGGCAGGGGCTGGGGAGCGCCACCCCCAAACAGGCTCCATCTTGTCCTGAGGCCTGGCTGTGAGGGCACCCTGTGGGCAGCCCCACCCCCTATGGCTTTGTTCCCTGGAGGGGGGCTGAGGCAGGAAGGGGGGCTAGAGGAGGGTCCCTTCTGTCCTGAGCAGGTGGGCAGGGCAGCAAATGGCCAGGGCTTCCTGCCGGGCTGGGGTGGCTCAGGGGTCAGCAGTCTCACAGGTCAGGGACGGGATCCCTGGGCTTGTCCACACCAGCCACACTGTGGGTCAGAGCTGTGCTGGAGTAGAGGGTGGGCACCCTCCCAGAGGTTCCGGGGCGGCTCCTTGAGGTCAGTGGGTTCCCGTGGACACAGGCCGAGGACAGGCAGGTGGTTCCCGCTCCATCCCAACAGCCTTGCCGTGCGGCCTGTCAGGGCTCGTCTCTGGCCACGTCCAGGTCGATGGAGCCGTGGCTGACCACCAGCCGCAGGCGCTTGGGTGGGGAGAAGGGTGTGAAGGACAGGGTCTGCTTGGGGACAGGGTTGGGAACTGGGGCCCCAGCAGGGGCAGCCGGCGGTGGCGGGTCCAGACGGCTGAGGTCCACACGCACCACGTGGGGCAGCCCGTAGCGCCGGGCCCAGTGCCAGTCCTGCTGTGGGGCCCAGCGGGCACGGGGAAGGCGGCCCAGAGAGACCCGTGCCTCTGCCTGTAGGCGACACTGGGGGCCACAGCCTCCCCACGGGTGCAAGGAGACGCGGGCGACGGGAAGGCTGGGGGCCGCAGGGGGCTGCCGGGGCCGGGGCCTGCGTCGTCGACGGGGGCGAGGCCGGGCCAGGGGCTGCAGCAGCCACTGCAGCCAGATGGGCGTTGCCGTGTCGGGGTTGCTGGGGAGAGGCTGGCAGATGGCTGTGGGGTGGAGAGAGAGAGAGAGAGAGGAGGACGTGGGAGTGAGGGCAGAGGCTGGCCAGAGCCCCCAGGATCTGCAGAGAGAGGAAGACCAGTGAAGGGGGCCCGTGGCCTGCTCACCACAGAAGAGGTCCCGGCGCAGGGGGGACGGGTGGGCGCAGGAGCGCAGGCCCCGCGGGCTCCGCCAGCCGCTGCCTTCCTGGCACTGCTGCAACCGCCGCTTGGTCTCACGGAGCTCGTACTTGTCCTGGGTCTGCGACGGGGGCGGCCTGGGGTCCTTGGGCCGCAGCCGGAAAGCCCCCTCGCCTTTCCTGGGGGACGGGATGGTGGACGAGGCTGAGGCCGGGCCAGCTGGCGGGAGCCCTCCGTCTCGCGGAGGCCCCAACCCCTCTCCGTGCTGGACACCCTGTCTCCCACCCGCCCCACCCCCTCTCCTGCCCACCCTGCCAGCGGCCCTCACCTCTCACAGGTGTAGCACTCACAGTGCTCGTTCTTCTCCCCGAAGAAGCCGTCGCCGTAGAAGCAGGTCACCTCGTCCCCCGGCTCGATGTCCCGAAGCACCTTCACGCAGGCCGCGTTGCCATCTGCAGGCACAAACTGGAGGCCTGCTGCTCAGCGCCGGCCCAGGCCGCGTCCCACCCCTGCTGTCCAGGGGCCCACGCCGTCCACACGCTCCTGGGCAACCTGCCTGCGGGGGTGGCGGGGTTCCCACCTCCCTGCGGGCAGCGTGGGGACCGGCCACACGGGGAGTTAGGTGCCGGGCACCCGAAGGTCAGCAAGTGAAAAGAAGCCGGATGTGGCAATCCGCTCCCGTAAGGCCCCAAGGACAGTACTTCCCTGTCCCACACGGTCGCCTTGGGGTGGGAAGGACCCTACGACCTTCTCTGTCCTGGTGGGCACTCCAGGCCGCCTGCCTCACCCCAGGTCCCCCACGTCCTGCCTCCTCTGTGCACCTCGTCTCGTCCCTGAGCTCTGCTGCGGTCCTGCCTGGCCCTGGCCGTCTTCTCCATCTGCCCCTCCACACGGGTTCCAGCCCTGTCCTCGTGCCAGGGTCTCCTGCCCTGCCTGCCTTCCGCCTCTGTGATGACCACCATCTGTCCCCTCGGGCCCAGGCCATGCCGGGAGCCACGTGGACTGGAGCCGAGCCGGCCACCTCCTGTCGCTGTGTGAGGGTGCCTCCGTCCTTGCGGCCTGGGTGGGACCGGCCATGCCAAGACCCCCCAGTATCTCCGCCAGCCACAGGGCAAAGACTTGCTCAGCCACTTCCGTCAAGGACCAGAGCAAACGCTTGACCCCAGGGAGGTACACGGGGTGGGACGAGGACACTGGAGATGCCCAGGGCTTCCAGGCCCTCTGGTGGCACAGTGACTAAAGCATTCAGCTACGAGCTGGCAGGTGGAAAGCACCAGCCAGTCACGGGACGGAGAGCACACTACAAGGACGGCAGCCGCCGAGAGCCTGGGGGGCGGCTCTGCCCGGGCTGCAGGGACCCCGTCAGAGCCCCCACTGCCCCCCTGGTTCCCCAGATGGGGGTCCCAGTTCTTACCTTACAGTTTGGCTTGCAGTCTGGACAGAGGGGAGAGAAGTCAAGAACGGGACAGGAGATGAGAAGGTCGTCCTTCTGGCCCCTGCCCCCGAGGTGCTCCCTGCCCCGAGGCGGCCCCCCGCCCCCCGGCTCACCGTGGTTGATGAAGGCAGCGGGCCCGAGCCACAGCTGGGCGCTGCGTTTGCGGGTCGAGTACATGATGCTGAAGTCATTCTCGCCGGCCCTCAGCAGCCCCTCGTCAGCCTCTCGTAACTCGGCGATGCAGCCCACCAGCAGCTCCAGCTTCTCGTTCTTCTTCCTGAGGAGACGGAGAAACGGTGGAAGCCCAGAGGCCCTGGCGTCCTGTCTGCTCTGATGCACGTGGACCCTGGCGGGCCACGCCTCCTCCCCGGAGCCCGCTCAGGGCCACGGCCACGGCCAAGGGTAGAGCCGGGCCTCCTCCTGGCAGGATCTAGGGCCTGGGACCAGCGACGTGGAGGCCAAGTTCCACATCTGAAACTAGCCTTGTTTCCTTATCTCTACAAACATCTGTCTGTCCACCCTTCTCCCCTCCTCCAACCCCAGTCAGTTGAAGGGCCCGGCCTCAGTGTGAGGCCTCATCGGGCTGTCCTGTTTGTGGGGCTGTCCTCAGCCGCTGGCCAGGATCCCCCAGCCCCTCGGGGGCCCTACCACCCACCTCCCAGGGGATTCTTTGGCCCCTGCTCAGCTCTGAAACCTCACTTTGTATTCTTTCCACACCCCTGGGCTGGGCCAGCTCCTTTGCTAGACTTCCTGCCGGCTGTGCTAACGAGCTGCACAGTTACCCATCTGCCCTCCACAGTCCACTTCTCAGGGCCGGCGCATCCCATTCTGTCAGGTCCCCAGCATCCAGTACACAAGATGGGCTCAAATGGGCAAAGGCCAAGGACGGCCCTGCGGCCCAGGGCAGTGTTTCACTCCCGGTAGCCCCAGAAACCTAGGCTCACGTCCCCCAACGGGGACACGTGCGCATCATGGGCCTTGGCCAGGCCCTGACTCCTCCCTGTGGTTCTTGGGGGAAAAGAAATGGCCTTGGCACAGATAGCATCAACACAGGCCCTGCATGGTCTCTGCCTCAGTGTCCCCACCTCGTCACCCCTACCACGGCCTCACAGCACCCTCACCTCTTCCCCCTATAGTGCCTCACCTCCTATCCCACTAGTGCCCCCATCTCTTCCCCCCAGCACCCCACCTCACCTTCTCCCAAGCACTCTACTTCTCCTGCCCACTGAGCACCCCGCAGCCCCTCCAGCCTCTCCCGTCCACTGCTCTCCCCTCATTCCTGCTGTGCTCATTCTCTCAGTGCTCTCTGTCCCCTCAGTGACCCCACCCCTCCTCTCCCCGCTGACGCTGACGGCCCAGGGCCTCGTTCCCGTCCCCACCCCACCCTGTCTCTGTCGTCCAGTGGCAGTGGGGCCCAGGCCCCTCGTACCAAGCACGGGTTGACACAATCTTGGCCCCGTTGGTCTCCATGGAGTAGCGCGTGCAGGGCAGGATGGCGAAGCCGCTTTCAGGCAGAAAAGCGCGGAGGTAGCGATAGATCTGGGGGAGGCGAGGGGGTGGGGGGGTGAGGAGGCGGGGTGGGGACAGCCATGGCCCTCTCTCGGGGGTCTCAGTCCTGCTGTGTGGTCTCACGTCCCCTCGTGGGGCCGCAGTGTCCTCATCCTTCAAATGAAGAGAGTGGATGCTATCTGAGGGGCCCCCAGCTCCCCTCTCCTCGGACTCCCTGCGCCTCACCCCTCCGGTGGCCTCGGGCCCTGGCACTCCGGGGGCAGGGGGCAGGGGAGGGGAAGGGCACCCTCACGTGGGTCTTGAGGGCTGCCTCCTGCCGCGGGCCCCGGCTCTGGAAGTAGTGGGCCATCCAGCCTCCCAGCGTCAGGGCCCGGTACGCAGCCTCCAGGTCGCGCTGCCTCAGGAAAGCCTCCAGCGCTGAGCGCAGGTGGTGCCGTCGCCGCAGCGGGGGCACGGGGCTGGGGGAGAGGGCATGCCTGGGTCCCGGGGCCTCGGCCTACGTCCCTCCGGGCTGCCCAGCGCCACCCTCGCCCGGGAGCTGGGGGCTGAGCGCCCAGGGCCCTGACCGCTGGGTCCGCCCATGCCCACAGGCCGCCTCACCTGATGTTCATCTTGTGGGTGCGGAAGCCGAGGTAGGGGTCCAGGACGAGGCTGGTGGCCAGGTCGTCGTTCTCACACAGCTCCCGGGCGGTCACTCTCTCTGGCCCCATGGTGGCACCCAGACCATGCTGCTCCTGGAGGAGGGCAGAGGGCGGCGGGGGTGACGGCGGGCAGGGCAGGGCGCTGGGGGGGGTCCACAAGCAAGGCTCGGAGCCGGGGTGACAGGTGGGTGGGGTGGTGCCGTGCGAGGCCTCGGCCGATGACCCAGGACACAAACCCTGGATGCCTCCTCCAGTGCACACGCAGTCAGACACCCCGACAAGGACACACACCACTGGTGTGCTCCCCAACACCCCATTCACGCAAACACACGCGCGCCACGTCAGTCAAGGCCCCCTGACCCCCACACCCCTATGTTGACATGACACACACATGAGCACAGCCCCCCCACGGGCACATCCACAAGCACTGATCCCCCCACGTCCAGACAGCCAGGGACCCTGACAGCTGCACACCCCCGCAGGTCTGTGCATGCGTCCACAAAGCACACACATGTGGGGGTGCCCCCCCACACATACACAAGGACCCCTAATCAGGTCGGGGTCCTCAATGCTCAGACCCCTGCCCTTGCTTGCTTGCACTTTTCGGGGCCCCACACATGCACACGTGTATACCCCCCCCAAACACACACAAGGGCCCCTGTGGACCTGCAGGCTGAGGGGCCTAAAGTGTGGGAGCACAGTGACAAGTGGGGTGTCCCCTGCTCCCCCTCGCACTGGCACCTCTCAGAAGGCCGTGGGTGAAGCCCCCACAGCCCAGAGGGAGACGGGGTGCAGGCGGGCAAGGCGGGGGAGCCCAGCACTTGCTGCCTAGGAGGGAAGTGAGAGGAAACAGAGGACAAAAGGGGGGGGTGTGCTGAACAGCAAGGAGAGGCTGGGCACGCTCGGGGTGACTGCGGGGCGCTCGGGGAGCCCCAGGCCGAGCACGAGGGCTCAGGGACGGGGAGCAGCGGGTGTGAGGGCAGCTGGGGGGGCACCCGCAGGGAGGCACGTGGGCAGAGAAAATCTAGAAGGGACATGGGGGGGATGGGGCCAGAGGGAGCGACGAGGAGGACACGAGGAGGTGGACACACAGAGCAGGAGCACTAAGTAAGGTACGGGACAGACCTGGGGGGGGTTCTGGACAGGGGGTTCCTGGGCAGACCCAGGGAAGGAGGCTGTGGACAGTCCTGGGAAGAGTGTCCTGGACAGGACCTAGAGGGGGTCCTGGGCAAGCCCTGGAGGGGGATCACGGGCAACCCAGGGCGGGGGTCGTGGGCAGGCCAGGAGGGGGGTCCTAGGCAGACACAGGAAGGGGATAGTGGTCAAACCAGGGGAGAAGGGGTCCTAGACAG